CAAGTTGGCTGTGAACTACTTGACACTGGAAAGCAGAAGAGACTTGCCCCGGTTTTGGCTCGGACAGAGTTAACTTTATTCTAAATGCTCAGAGAATAAAGTTCTAAAATGAACAGTAAGAATGAACAAATTTGCTTGCAGAACAACTGAAAGACGGTATGAGCTGTTTCCTGTGATAACGATAGATGGGACTTGATTAATCACACCCCAGTGTACTTTGTATAGGTTAGGAGGTGAAGGGCTGACCAGATTCTGTCCAATTAGATGTACACCATCTTGATGTTAATCTGCTAAACTGTTCCTGAGCTCCTATTTTCAAATCTGTAGTCGTATGGTGAAAATAAAATGGAGGATTCTGTTTGGAGCTCTTTGACTCTTCAATTTATTAACTTTCTGTACCCCGTTTGTTTCTTCTGTGCTTAATGGTGGTGTAAGGGAAATATGGAAAAATAGTTGTTCCAGAATAGTATGTGCTTGTTTCTGATCGATTGATTCAAATTTTTCATGTGGTCTTTTGTTCCTGGAAGAACTGTTTTTTTTTTTTTTTTTTAAAATGTTTAAAAAACATGTAACAGGGAGAAGTCCTTTTAATGATATTTTCATACAGCAAGTAAAACATACTAGTTGCGCATTCGGTGCTTTTATATCTTTGATCAACACAGGTTGTCTACACATGTCTGGTATTACTGATATTGAATGTATTCTCTGTGACTCAGACACTCCTGTTGTTTGAAAAGTGAGTTTGCCTTCAGTTGTTCTACTCCAATGTACAAAGTACTTTTCAGAATCTGAGTCAAATCTAATGTGTGCTTAAATAATTAGCACCAGAAGATAATTTCCCTTGTTTTTATGTGCATCTTTGATCAATAGTCTTGAAGGTAGCACACAGTACCATTAGTAAAGTGGGTGAATGAAAGTAATACAGTACTTAATTAAATCACAATATTCTTCTGTATTATTGCAATGTATGGGAATCCTAGCCATGTATCCCTGTTATTCCAGATGCTAGTTTATGTACGTTTGGTGATTGTGCGTATACATTGTGCTAGGCAGTGTGTATTCACAGAAACACAACGCAGAGCACAAAGAAAGGCCAAAGACAACAATTGGATTCAAGTAGGTAGTAAAATTGCAGTAGAAGAATAAGATTTGTTCGTCACCATAGTAGAATGCAACTGTAGCCCATCAACACTGTAGCTGTCACAATTTCTGTAGGCATTATGGCAAGGAAGTTTTAAGAAGGGATCTGAAGCAAGATAATGAAGTTTAAGACTAAGACCCTAACCTGAAAGCCTAGTTAAATGAATAGGATTATTTCTAGTGCTGTCAAGAGGTGTTAGATCAAATCTTCCAATGTTATATCTGCCAAGGGAATTTTATAATCAAAATTGTTTTAGGATTTTACAGAATTAAGCATATTGAATTATATACAAGAATTCTAGGCGTGTTATGATCTAACATGATTAATTATGTGTTGCCTTTTGAATAATTCTACTCATTGACACAGCACAATTTTTGCCCGTGTTCTCTTGGCCTGGTTTTTAGAGATGCCAATAATCATAATTACCAGTGAAATAGAAATAAAAAGTAATTTTACATGTGTTTATGATTAATAATTTCAGAAGTATAGTATCTTTAAAAAACCCTAGGACTTACACTAAAAAAATGTATGAGCGTATTTCTTGATTTTTTTCTGATGAGGTCAATGCAAAGGTGGTCTGGTAAGTATATTGTATCTGCGCACTAAAAATGTGATAAGCTAAATCACCTGATAGAAGGTTTTATAATGTGAATAATTTTTTGTACATTTCTTTCGGCTTCTAAGTATGTCTCTAAGATGAGTGCATGCTTACAGTTTGTTTTTATCACTCATGTAGAGCTATCATTTATATTGTAATGGGGGAATTCTCTTGCATTAGGACAAAGTTGTCAGCTTTGAGTAGGTACTTGTGTTGCAGCGTTGCTTCTATTGGCCATGCAGTAGATGCAGTGTTTGTTAATGCTGAATCAGTATTTGAAAGCATGACAGCCTTCCGTTGAGAAATAAAACAAAGCCTGGTATATACCTAAGTGAAATAATGGCTTACTAATAATTAGTTGCTTATCTCAAGTATGCCAGATAACTTAAAGAGTAAAAGTTATGGTGTCATTTGGGTTGAGTAATGTAAGCGCTAGTATTACTTTGCTTACCATTTCATCAGCACTTTGCGTTAGTATTTATTCTTAAATACAGAGAGTAGTAATTATTAAAGGTGATCTCTTTCATGTTTCATACAATTTAGAGGAGGTCATGGATGTTTGTATTTCTTGTCACCTAAATTACAATAGCAATCTTGCAACAGAAGTAAGTTGCAGTAGGCCTGCTGATCCTTTGTTGTTAGAATTAAGTTAATCATGGTTCTCAAGCAAGAAACTGGTTAAATACGGCAGCCCAGCTACCATGACTTTGCACTCATATTTGTATTTATTGATATACATTCTTACAATTCTTACTTAACCAAAAACTTTCTGGTTAAGATTATCAACCCCAAGTCAAGTATGTGGACTTGTGCAAAGTATTTGACACTGTCCCATACAAAAATCCATATCTCTCAATTGGAGAGACATAGATTTGATGGATGGACCACTTGGTGAATGAGTCGGCTGTATGGTTGCTCTCAAGCGTTGCAGTCAATAGCTCGATGTCCAAGTGGAGTCTGGTGATGAGTGGCATTCCTCAGGGGTCGGTATTGGGATTGGTACTACTTAACATCTTTGTTGGCGACATGGACAGTGAGATTGAGTGCACCCTCGGCAAGTGTGCAGATGACACCAAACTGTGTGGTGCGGTCGACATGCTGGAGGGAAGGGATGCCATCCAGAGGGACCTGGACAGGCTTGAGAGATGGGCCCATGCCAGCCTCATGAAGTTCAGCAAGACCAAGTGCAAGGTCCTGCACGTGGGTCAGCGCAATCCTAAGCACAAATACAGGCTGAGAGGAGAATGGATTGAGTGCAACCCTGAGGAGAAAGGACTTTGGAGGTGCTGGTAGGTGAGAAGCTGAACATGACCAGGCAGTGGCAGGGTG